TATCATTCAAACCTTCGATATCTGAGATACTATTAAATATCGTTATTTTTTCATCTATTTTTTTGCTTATTTTAACGTATGTCATTAGTTCCTCAGTTTTAGTAACTGATTTTGTGTTATATATTTTGTTATTTACTTTTATTTGTAATATTTCAAATGACTCATCATCAAATTTTGTTCGTATTTCGTCTTCAATATTTGATATAATTCTAGAATTTATAATATTATAAGTTTTATATTCATTACTTGGTTTATTTTGCAATGATTCTATGATGTTTCCAAATTCTGAAAATCCACATAACATAATATTAAATTTACAAGAAATATCTTGTAAATGTTTTTGCATTTCAATATTACACTGTTCAACAATTTTATCATCATTATACATTAAATATTTTAGATGTTTTCTAACAAAATGTAAAATTATGACTCCAAATATATTCAAGATTTTTTCATGATAAGCTCTAATTTTTGATATCCATTCATCAAACCAATAGTAATTTTGAGAAGCATCATAGGCATCATTAATATCTTTGATAATCTTAAAGCATTTTATTATACATTGTTCCCCAAAATCCATTATTATAATTTCTAAAATATTTATGTTTTCAATAATTTTGTAAAGACAAATATTCCTAAGAGAAACCCAATTATCTACTTTTTCACCTTGCAATAAAATGTTATTTGTATTATTTCTATTTGCCATTACCTTCTTTAATTTTTTTATCATTGAAATCTTGTCTCGTTCATTTAGATTATGTTGTAGTTTACCTGTAGAATCGTATTTATTATTTATTCGACAATCACTTTTTATATAAGAGTATAAATCTTTTTTTAGATCTGTTAGAATTGTCTGAACATGTGATGTCATTGTCAAATTATTCATCATTGCTGTCTTCTGATTTTTTATGTAAATTGCAAACATGTACATATTCCAAATAGGGTTGTAAAATGCCTGTAGACTTGACTTTAGCATTATAACTAGCATGTGTTGAATAATTGATGTATTCAATAATAAATCCTCGTGTCCAAAACTTTTTTCAAATAATATATGATGTATAAAATTTTGAATAAGGATTGTATATAGTAAAAGGTTATATAAATTACTGCAATAAATGTCGCAGTACATAATTTCTGGTCTGGTGTACAAATTAAATGATGTTGGTTTTTCTTCATGAATAATTATACCTTTCAATTCATCTAAATCTAGTTCCAATATTTTAGGATGAGTATCATAAGAAAATCCAGTATCAAGATTTATTGCTACTTTAAGTTCTTCTGTATCATAAAAAATCTTGGATTCCTGTTCAGGGTTTGGGTTTTGTTTTGATTTCAGCATAAAACAATTACATGTGATAAATTGTATATCACAAAAAATCTCAAAGAATATTGTTAACGCGCAATATTTATTAAAAATCATTATTACTAACTTAATACTTAAAAATGATAATTTTTAACTTCTTAAGAAGAGTATTTTTAAAAACTACACTATAACAAATTTTAGATATTTTAATGTATGATTTTTGTACTTATATAAACATTATAATGAACGTTTTATTCAAAAAATTGTGTGTAAACAGTTTAAAAGTGATTTATTGTCACAGTATTAATTCAAATAGAATTTTTGGTTTAGTATTCAAAAAAAGGAAAATGAATCATTCGATATAAAATTAAGTAATATTAATTTACCATGATTTTTTATAAAAATAAAAGAAAAATATTTAGAAAAATCTAAATTTAAAAATAATAACTATGACATAGTATCTAATGCTGTCTAAATATTAAATATCTTATTATATCATAAAACATTTTAACATCATAACAAAAATTAGTCAATGCTGAAAAAATTACTTAACGAAGTACGATTAAATTTTTTTTTTTTTTAATGAAAGAGCTCGATGACGTTTTCTAGGAAAATGATTGGCGCAAATGAGAACATTTTTTTAGCACATTGTAAGCGTTTAAAATCGTTCATTGCCGGCAGCGTTTTTCGATTTAAATTCTAAAATTTTAACAAACATGTCTAAAGACATTCCAAAGGTACTCTGATAATTTTTTTAAAATCTAATCATTTTTAACGAAGTTATGAGCTTTTTTTTTCTCGGTACTCCTGGCAGCGCCGTCCGAATTTCTTTTCTCCATGAAAACGATATATTTTCCGTTTCGCTCATACACTGTAATTTAAATGCTACAATAAAGGTAGAAAAGTCCGAAAATCCGAAATTGGACTAAAATTCTACCCACCGTGAGCGTTTAAAATTTACCGCCACCTATTATCTTATTATAGTCCAGGGCATAGTATTTAGTACGATATTATTTTGGTTAACGGATGTCAATTATGTTTAAATTTTATGCAAGTATACAAGTGTACTGATTAAACAGCATTTAAAGATACTTTAGAAGTACACTTAAATATTTTACAGTCATATTATTAGGTAATTTTTTATTTTTTGATAGCTTATAAAAATTATTGTATAAGATGTATAAAAAAATAAGTATTGTACGATAGAAAAATTCATTTATTTTTATTGTCATTAATAATTTTTTTATTTTATTTTCCTTTTTTATTTTGAAAAAATTTTTTATTGTTATAGTATGCCTTACCATACCAATGAACTATTTTTTTGGAGTAGGACAATTTCCTACAATATTTACATTAAACGTTAATGATAATTTGTATTGACATATTTGATGCTAATACAAATTTTTTATATATACATATATAATTTTTTATTATTAAGTTTTCAGAAGATCTTTTGGCCAGTTACGCTTTATACTTCTGGGAGGATTTTCAGCCAAGGTTAGTGAGGAAGGTTGCTTTACAAGTAGATTGACTTGGTATTTTAGTTTAGAGTAGAATAAAAGGTACAGGGATTTAGCTAGTTGTTTGACTGTTGGAATTAATAGGTCTTTGTGGATGTTATGTTAATTCTTAAATTATTTTTATTTTACAATTGATATGTTTTAAAATTTTACTTAAATGTTGAAAGCTTGTTAAATAATTTGTTTTATCACATAATATGTATTGGAAATTTTTGTAATCGATTAACCTATACTCTTCTACTAAACAATTAATTGCTATCCTGCGGAAACATGAAATACAAAAAACCTATTTAATACTCTTATAGCTGTATTTTTCTACATCTTTTTTAAAATAATAACATATGTTTATCAAATCTTTTGAATTTTCTAAAAACAATCTTCTTAAGTTATTTCTGTAAGCACCGAGGGTAAAATTATCGTCAAAATTTATCTCATTCATAAAAAGTAAATCAAATGTATGTATTCTGTAGTTATAAGCATCTTTTGTATCAGTATGTCTTTAGTATTATATTTAACTAATGATAACATAGGGATATTTTCGCCAGTATACAATGTATTTTCATTGTATCATCTAATTTCTTAAATTTTTGTGAAATATATTTATAAACTTAAGTAGGGTGAATAGGGTTCATTATATAACACTCATTAAGCTCAAAATTTATTATTGCAATAATCTATTGCATAAAGACTACTAATATTTTTTATCCATATTATACTTATCTCTTATTGTTTTATTTAAATATCTACTTCCTATAATTTCTAAAACTTCATTATAGTACAAAACTCTCTAAATTGTTTGTTTATTCATAGCAAATATGGCCAAATAATCTTTATATAAAATATATTATTTGTATTATTTTTATAGTATATATTGTTGACTAGGGTATGACATGATAGTAGTTACCAATAATAAAATTTAATTGTTTTGTTCATTTTTTTTAGTCTTGACTGTATTTTATCATTATTTCTGATTTTGAAGAAAATGTTATTTTTGTCTTATAGTAGAACAATTGTGGGATAATTTTTTTTTTGTAATATTATAGTAAACTTCAAAAGATTTAATTTTATATAGATTAAATGTTGTCAGACGTTCTGGATCATTTAAAAAAAATTTTTATATATGTGTAGGTGGTTCCTTTCAAGCCTTTTCTGCAAATATGCTTTTAATTAGATTTTCACTAAAGTCATACTAAAAGAAAGCTTATTGTCTCTCGTATATTTTATAAGAGCTTCATTATGAATAGTAAACTTTTGAAAGAGTTGTTTATTAAGGGCTTTTGCCTGTTCGTTAGCCACACATGCATTTATGTAACAGATTGCTACTTTCTATAATAACTAATATGATAACATTAAGTTAATTAAAGACTCATTGTTTATTATTTAGATTATTCAAATCTACGGGACTACAGAGGTGGTTTCTCTATGATTAGTCTTTTTATTCTTGCATATATACTTTACAACCAAGAGTTCCATTTCTTCCGTTCAAGAAGTTGATTCAATTTAATCCTCCAAAGATGAGATAATAAGTTCAGCACCAAATAAATCTAGCTCATTTATTAGTAAATTACGCTATCACAGGAATAAATAAAGATTGGAAAAACTTTTATGGAGATTTATTACTACATATAAAAAAGAAATATTACATGGGAACCGCTACAAAAGCCTTATCTAAACCAGTATACGACCTAACGTACACTTTGACCTCAAATCATACTGTTATCTGATGATAAAAATCCGCAATCATTAAGTAAAACATTGACAAGAGTTAAAAAATAAAATAATGATGATCTATTACAGAAATTTTTCAATTTTTGGCTATTAAGCCGAATAACTCGTAGGAAAAATATCATTAGGAGTTTTTCTATTTTTCATCATAAAAATACTCTAAAAGCATGCCAAAGAAGCATATTGTCTTACGCACGTGCAATAAAAATTTCATTAGATTAATTAATCAATCCGTGTTTTTAAAAAAAGTTTAAGTCTTAAACTTAAAAAGAATATAAAAATAAATGAAAAATTGTTATAGAAAAAAAAAACGATATTTTTTCCAAAAATTATTTAAATGAAAATGTAATGTGTCAATAAAATGTTCCGTTGAGTTTAAATAAAATTCTTATTATATGTATCATGATTTATAAGTCATAAATGTAGTCTTTATATTAAATATTTAAATATACTTATAAATTTTGAAGCTGAGTTAAACAACGCCTCAGCACCATGGTCACTTGATGAACGTTTCAATTTTGGATATTTTGATAAAATTTTCCATGTCATATAAGCTTCTTTAAAAACTATGAATGTCTAAAATGAAAAACTATATATTGATAAATGATAAAAAAAATTAAAGTAAATCACTTTTTCGATTATGATTAGTCCATTATCGGACTTATTATTCACAACGAAATATGAGTGATTTCGAAACATCCACTAATGGTTTGACTGAACTATAAATAGATCATTAAAACTTGTATAAAAAAACTCACTTGATCCACATTTTCTCGTACAGATATTTCATGGAATGCAATACAACCAAGTTCCTGACTACGTCTTCTACCTTCTGCAAATGATACCATTCGATCAAATTGTTGATCCGCTTTATTTCCTACTAATATTACGGGTACATCGGTTGTATGATCCTAAATAAAAAATTGTATTAATCAATAAAATACTAAGAGGAGAGGGCGATTACCACTTATACTTTACCGAAGTTATGTAATTATATGTGTATATGGGTATTTGTTTTTTGTATTTTAGAACCTTTTTCAATAAAGTGAATATAATATTTCGAAAACAATACAATAAAAAATAATACTATTAACAATCAAAAAAGATTGGTCGACCTGTAACCCAACACTTGACTGTTATTATACTTATTATACATTGCACAACTTGATGAGGTTTTTAAACATTTTTAGCAATCAGGAAAGCATTTAAATTGCAGATTTTTTTTATGAATTTTTCTTATCTATATCCAAGGCTGTGAGATGAAACTAGAATAAAAATCCTACCTCAATATCTAAAGACACGAAAATAGTTGATTTTACGAATTTTTTAGCTTTGATGCGAAGCTGAGAAGGTATTGGTTTTACTATGATATGTTTTTTGTTTTTTGTGTCTGTTACCACTTTTTCTCAGATCTCACTAAACGGATTTCTTTCAACGAAACGTCAAAAGATCACAAATCGTATCTAGTCGAAGACATTACCCATAAAAATTGAAAAAATTTCCCTCGTTCCCCGTAAATGGGGGAAACTTCCAAAAAAATTACAAATTTAAAAATCGCTAATATTCAAAATTTTTTCAATTTTTTTTACTAAAAACTGCCGTAACTTTTTCAAAAATAAACATATCAATATAATTTTTTTTTTTATAGATGCTTGATATCTTTACCTATCATTTGGTATATTTTTTTTGTAAATCTGACCCTTTATCTGCCCACGGGGGAGATTTAAAATGACAACTTTTTCACAAAAAATTTACTTTTTCAACTTAACTTTTGAAAATGTTCCGGAAGGTCGGACACTTTTATATATATCTTAAATTAAAGCTAATGTAATATACTTTAATTTGAAAAAAAAAATTTGACCTCTGGACTTGTCTTCACGGTTAAAATGGCTACCGAATGCTATTTTCATATGAAAATTCTCGATTTTATAATTTACATTTTTAACTTTATAATGCTATAACTTATTGAAAAGTGTATGGATCAACACAATTTTTTTATGAGAAATAATATTTTTTAATAATCCCTTTTTCATTCGACATACATTATCTTAATCAAGATATTAATAAGGAACTAGCAGATCATATAGCTTTTGGAATATTACACCAATTTTTTTAAAATTTAACACTATCTAAAGATTTGCATCGAAGAGTTTTTTTTTATGGTGATTTTAATCACTGTCAGATATCATTATACTTGATCTAACTATGCAACGTCACCACTGTTCCGCGACCCCCCTGTGCTGGGTTTTTTAAATACAAGCTTATGTCAAAATTACTGGAAAAATTTAACGAAATTGTAGAAGTCAAAAAAATTTTATTATTCAATAGAGAACAATAGTATAAAATTTTGAAAATATTTAATTTTTACGATTAATTACATATATTAAATTGAATCTTATATAATATAAGATGATCCGGTTTACGTTCATTATTATTACTAATTAATGTTTATTATATCTTAATGAGTAATATTATTATATACCATTATTTTTTTTAAGACAATTTTTAGTTATGTTTAAATTTTATGTACAGTATTTTTTATGATACGGGATAATTAAAATAATTATTATGTTTACTTGGAAAACTTAATGCACAAAAAATGTTTAAATAAATTTAATAATAATTTGAAATTCTTAATACCAAAACAAGCTACTTCTTAAAAAAAACTGCTTATGGTCTACTTAGCCTACCTCTTAATACGGTATTGGGTGATCCATTTATCACAATCAGCACAACTACTTACATTGGTTTAATCACGGAGGAAATAGGGCAGGGAAAATTGTTCAAAGGTACATTATCCCTAGTAGTATGAACCCCTAATTAAGCTACTGACTTACAAAATAAAAATAATTTCAAGACTATTTGTTTAGCTTCTTGTAGTTGTACATTGAAAATAATTAAAGTTGACATCCCAGTAAGGTAAAAAGGAAGGATAAAAAAAGTACTTAATAATTCAAAAATCAAGAAATATATATAACTGAAAAAGTCAAATAATATTCACAACATTATTTTTAAGTAATTGAGTGGAATATGATAGTCGTATCACTTAGTATACTATAAGTTAAAAAAAATTATCCAATTAATTAATTTTTGTGATAAAATTACTGATATAATATTTCCAATTATATATTATTTAATTTGAGACACTTATTGGGACTAAATCAAACACGCGATTTTTTGCAACTGGACATGGTCAGTTTTAATTGTTTATATATTCTTACTTTTAATTTTATTTAATAGCAGATTGATTAATAGCGACCGAATACGTTAAAATGCTTAATGTAATAACTACCTTTAGGACATACATCACACGTCGTTAGAGCTATTTCTATGAAATCTATATTTATTTCCAACAGTAATTTACCGACACTCATTTAAATTTAAATTAATTTTATGGAATTCTATAAGAAATAAAAACATGCAATTATAATGAGACGAAAACAAATAAATTGTTCAAAGTTGTCTTCTCTAACAACAATATTTAACATATGTCTAGTTAACACAATTTCTGTATTAAGTAATTATTTTTACATTTAAACCAATGTATAAGACAGTCTTTAAGATATACTTAACTGCCGTGAATGTTTGGTTTCTTTTTTGTTTTTGTTGCTATTAATAATTTAAGTTTGATATTTATGAGTTGGTGATGTGTAATGTAATGTACTCTTAAATTAATAGTCAAGTATTTTAATGAACAGATTATTTATGGCCCATTTACTAAGTAATTCTTTACGTTACTCAAAGTTATTATTATATAACAATATTTTGAAATAATTTGAAGTACCAGTAATTAGAGAATTAAATACAATAAATTAGATGAAAACTTCTCTGTGGTCAACTCTCTACTTATGATTAATAATATGTTTTGCTACAGTAAATCATGATTTTTATATTACTACCCAGAAAGTTATAATTACCTATTATAATTGAAAGTCCAACTTACTCTTAATAGTCTTTATTATCAGTAATACACTAGTAAATCCAGAATATACACAAATCAACAAGACAAGAAAACATTATAATTATACAGTTTAATACGAAAAACTAAAAATATTTGATATCAATAAACGTAAAATATCATTAATCAATATGCCCAACTAATAAGGCAGTAACTCACTTTTCTTACCCTTCAGGAGGTGCGTTAAGTTAGGAGATCAAAAATAAAATCTATTCTCTGAATACACCCTATATATTTATCAATTTTCGAATTAGTTTATTCCGATTCAAACCAAATATTCGATATTTTGATGAAAATTATTATAAGAAGAGTAAAACATAAATCGAAATACCTCAAAGTGCAATATTTTGAGTTAATATTTTATTCGTTGTAAATAGCGATAATACAACTTATAATTTAAAACAAAAATTAAGTCATTTCAAACACTATGCTTAAAAAAATTCTATTTTAAAAAAATAGTTATTTGTTCATATTAAAAACTGTCTATGGTAGTGAATTATGTTTCAAATTCTTTTAACCTTATACGTAAAAGTGATAAATTGAATAACATTTTAGTATTAAAAATGCTAAATATAAAAATTGTATATTATTAAATGTTAAATAACGTTAACTTAATTATAAAATAATATTATAATATATTTAAATATTAAAAAAATTTTAATATCTTCTTATCGACGTAAATTACTATCAAAAATTCAAATGATAAAAAATATTGAAAAGTAATATTACATATTAGTAATGTATGCAGGATTTCAGTTCGGATAGGGTTTTCACATAGGACGATAATAGTCCCGTGGTGAACTTCGCCCCATTATATAACTGATCTGGTTTTGCGAAGTGTTAAATCCCTAGAACACTACTACCGCCTACACCATTGTCACATATTCAAACCATATAAAAATATAATATTATTAATGAAATCCAAATAAAAACTTATAGAATTGTCTAGTTATTGAACTATTAAGGATTTGTTCAATTAACAATATTTTGATAACTCTTAGAATATTTATATGGAGGAGTAAACAAAAATATTTTTCGGGAGAGATATATAATTTTTTTCAACAAAAAGTAAGTGTAATAAAAATAAAATAAATTTTTTCCAAGTTTCAAAGTAGTCATTTTTTGAGCTTTTCTGACAAAAATGTTTGGTACACTTATGACAATTTTAAGCCGAATATTTATTAAGTTACAAGCATTATAATGCATAAAAAAAAATAAAATTGTTTGTATCTTTTTTCTTATTAAAGACAAATAATAAAAAAAAGTGGAGACTAATATAGATTAATAACTGACTATTATTAAAATCACTACCATAAAACACTTCGATCTGAAAGTCAAAAAATTCAACTATTTCTTTTTTGTGTTATTAAACTTGAATAAATACGTCTGCACGCAGTGTATTATTTTGGTTTAAAAATATTACTAGGCCACAAATTAAAAATTGTAATTATAATTTTCATAATATATTTTTAGCTAAGATCAATTTTATAGGGAAACCTCTTCGTTACCAATATGTTTTTCAGATGGATACTATTAGTCCTATCCCACTAATAGGATTACATTATTCTTATAGTGATGTTTAATTTATGAAAAAAAATTCAACAGGTTGACTGTTACTTCAGCATTAAAAATCTAAAAACAGGACCTACAACGCTATATGCGTTTACATCTAATATCTGAACATAAAATCATCACTGATTTTTCATATTTGATAATTAACATGTATACGCCATTATAGTATGATTTATTAATATTACTTGTATTATAGTGATTTGACGTACATGGAATTGAACTAGGTATAATAAAATTGTGTACAAGTATTTAGTCGAATCACAACAATAATGACGCACATTTTCAAATAAATGAGATACTAAAATCTGACGTATTCTTGTTTAATCTTCATTTGTTAACAAAAATCAGATTATGATCTGTGTATATTTTACACTAAGGTTT